TTCCATTTGCACGATGGTCTACTGTATCATGCGAAGTGCTTTTACATTCCAGGTCAACCCAGACTTGAAGTATCGAGAATTTGCCAGGATATACCAGTGGCTGGCCATTTTGGCTTCCATAAGTCTCCGAACTTGGTGGTATGAAGTTTCTGATGGCCGGGGTGAATCGTGATGTTGGGGGAGGGGGGGAGCCAGCTCCTTCAACCTGTGCTTTCCGAGCAAGTGCCCACATGCTAAACTGCTTGTTCTACTCTTGCTTCTGCCCACCCCACCTCAGCCCTGGTGTGTGGTCTTGTTGAACTTCATTGTAGAACAATCTCGCTCTCAAGGTTACACCATCATCCTGGTTGTAGTTGATCTTTTCACTAAGATGGCACACTTTCTTTTCACTCTCTCCACCACTGAGGAAACAGCCTCCCTTTTCCTAAACCATGTTTTTCATCTCCACAGATGAAATAGAATAGTGTCTGATCAGGGTCCACAATTCACTTGCCAGTTCTAGTGCAAACTCTAAACTCCTGGAATTGAACTCTTCATCTACTCAGCCTACCACCTGCAGACCAACAGGCAGATGGAGCAGGTAAATCAAATCCTCAAGCAATACTGTTGATGTTTCCTTAACGACCGCCAAGAAGACTGGGTCACTTTCCTGCCATATGCCAAATTCGTTGTAACTCCATCTGTATCTCCATCAAACAGTCAATTTTATACCCATTAGTTTTCACCCTCATCTCAATCTAGTCACTCCTGCAGACTCAAGTTCCCGCTGCAACAGATCTCATTATCCACTTTCACCAAGTTCTCCAGGAACTTACAAAGCATCTGGAAGCTGCCAAGGAAACACAAATGTCATGCTAACCAAAGCCACCAAGTTGCACCAATACTTACTGTGTGGAAATCAAATCTGTCCGCTAAAATCTCAAATCCTCCTGCCCATATGCCAAATTAGACTGTCAATACGTGGGTCTATTCAAGATTGCTGAACAAATCAACTGGATAGCATGCCGAAGCCAGCTGCCCAAATCTCTGAAAGTCCACCCAGTTTTTCACATGACCCCCTGAAACCTTACACAGAAAATCTTTTCCCTGGCTGCTCCACTCCACTACCCTCTCCCATGGAGGTTCAGGGTCAGGCTGAATACAAAGTCTGAGAAATCCTGGATTCTAAGCGAATCTGAGGTTGACTTCACTACCTGGTGGAGTGGGAAGATTATGGCCACAAAGAACAATCTTGGGAACCAGAAGGGACTGTCCATGCTCTGGAGCTCATACTCCTGGTGAAAGGCGAGTAGCCAGAAAGACCAGGCCCTCAGACCCTTGGAAAGCACCTTGGGTGGGGGAAGTACTGTCAGGGAGCCAGTTTCAGCAGGGACAGTCTCCTACCACCACACTGGACACAGCTGATCCTCACAGACTACCTAATTGATGGAGGGGTGGAGCTAATTACTATTTAACCCAGCAACAGCCAGAGCCTGCTGACGGCTCAGCACATTCCCTAACTGCAGCTGCACTTGGTCCTGTGCCTGCTCTCTTCCATCCTTGACAAGTCTGGGTCCGCTTCCTGACCAAGTCTCCGGCTCACCCATTGGCTCTGCCCTTGCCTCTTCCCCCTACATGTCCCGTGGCCCGGAGTCTTGACTCCAACTTGGCTCCATTCTAACCTCCAGGCCTGGCTACCCCCATAGCTCTGACCATTAGGCACGACCACCCACGTCCCAGTCATGTCCTTGACAGGAGAGGAAGTTAATTCAACAATTATGAGCAGCCTTCTCAAGGTGTTTAGCGGTGCAGGAAGTCAGCTGACTATCTGTGGTCTGGCAGAGTACCAAGAAGAGAGTATTACAATCAATTAATTTTTTTTTTTTTTTTCCCCTGGGCATAAAGAGAGGGGACTTCTGGAGAAGAGTTGTATGACATTCCTACTTAACATGCAAAGAAAGTGATTAGAAGCAAAAGGTTTTCATGAGAGGAGATGTTTAAAAAAATTAGGACCATTTACATTTAGAAAAGGAACAGAGGGAACATGATAAAGTATGTAAAATGATGAATGATAAAGAATGTCAGGCACTTCTATATACCCTGTTTTGCAGTACAAAAATATGTGAACAATAAATCAAATTAAAGGCAAGTATAAAACTGATACTTTAAAATACAAAACATGTTTACCTGTTGAAATCACTGCCTCAAGATAGTCTCATAGCTTAATAAAATTTTCAAAATGGATTAAACATGACTAATAAAAACATCTGGTTACATTAGCTAGGATAAATGTATAAAACTGTAGAAACCATTGTGCATCAGGACATAGCCAGCCACTAACTGCTTAGTGTTGGGAAGAAATTTCCCTCATGTGAGAGCAGGTTGTTCCATAACTGTCAATTACAGGGGTTTTGTACCTTCTTCTGAAGCATCTGCTAGTGACCACTCTTGGAGATAGGATATTTATCTGACTCCGACCAGCATTTCTATGCTCTAAAAAGAAAAACCCCACATACCCAATAGACCAGTGGCTTTCAAACTTTTTTTCTGGCGACCCAGTTGAAGAAAATTGTTGATGCCCATGACCCAACAGAGCTGGGGATGAGGGGCTCAGGGTTGGGGCAGGGGTGCGGGAGGGGGTCAGGGCTCTGGGGTGGGGCTGAGGGCTTGGGGTGCAGGAAGGGGCTCCAGGTTTGGGGGGGCTCAGGGCTGGGGCAGGGGATTGGGGCATGTGGTTACCTCAGGCGGCTCCTGGTCAGTGATAGCGCTAAGGCAGGCTTCCTGCCTATCCTGGTACTGCGGACTGCACTGCGCCTCAGAAGCGGCCAGCAGCAGGTCAGGCTCCTAGGCAGAGGCGCGCAAGCGGCTCCGCGTGGCTCTCGCCTGCAGGCACCACCCCTCCCCCCAGCTCCCATTGGCCAGGCCGGTGCTCAGGGCAGAGCCACGTGGCCCCCCTGCCTATAAGCTGGACCTGCTCCTGCCTGCTTCCGGGGCGCAGCGTCAAAACAGGTAGGGACTTTTAACGGCCAGGTCGGCGGTGCTGAATAGAGCCACTGCGACCCCGTACTGGGTTGCGACCTGCAGTTTGAAAACCATTGCAATAGGCTACACACTAGATGTCGTCATCCTCAGCAGATGTTGCCAAGATTCTATGCGTGATCCTAAAGCCCTCTTCCCCCTCACCTGCTGTGATCGCTCAATAGTCTGGCACAGTGGAATTTATTACTACCTGGAATTTATTGTGGCTGACTACTGATTGAATAGGCATTTTCCCCTCTTACCTGTAAATCAGGTTTCTGTTAGCAAATTACTAAATGAACTGCTCTCTGAAGCTATTCAGTCTCTTTATACACATTCCTTTGTTAGGTCTGAAAGTTAGTTCAGGTTGGTCATAGAATGTTTTACGAAGTTTTAATTGTAGTGTATTATGAGTTCTGGCAGAAATGGAAGAACTCTGCTTGGATTTCTTGCCTCTGCCAGCCACTACAGGAGTTTTGTCAAGGTGAAACACTTCGAGAGTTTTCTGTGCAGTTTCAGAGCAAACCCATTGTGCAAATTTCTGCGTGAAAATGAACATAAAATTTGACAGGTGATAGCAGGGGGAAATCTGGAATAATTAAAATCTGCTATTGGAGCCCCTAAGCAATCTCCTTTCACTTCCCTGTTTTATCAGAGCCCACCTCTGGTCATCCCATTCTGCCATATGAAAAAGAATGGACAAGACTTTCTCTGCAGACAGTTAACACTGTTTCTGAGGCAGACAAAGGTAAACGAGGGTATTCCTCTCTCTAGAAAATGAGCATGGTACTTCTGGACTGCTCTCAGCTTCTGCCAGTGTAGAAATTTAGGACCCAGACTATGATCTCCAGCAAGGCATTGCCCAGGTTTTCATTTAACATTCCTGCTAGCCATCAACATCCCAAAAAGAAAATGCTGCTCTCTCAGGTAATACAGATATTAAATTAAGATTATGCATCTTTACATAAGTGGATTTCAAGTAGTGCTTTTTAAAGATGTAAATGGGGAGAGAGGTTACAATCGTACACTTTTGTAATGTTGCTGTAGTTAATCCAGATGTCAGGCAAGCATGCTTATTGACCTAGTGCAAAGAGATAAAACCTGCAATTTACTATCCAAGAAAAATTCAGACCAGGAAGATTTATGGAAAACAGAAATTTAGGGCATAATCCTGCACCCATTGAAATAAAGGATAACACCAGTAATTTCCATGAGAACAGGATGAAGCTTTTAATAATTATGTCCAATTATCTTTAAATTATCCAACTCCAAATTATTTCTGTCCAAGATGAGATTGTAGAAAAGCACACTAGTAGCATGCATGTGTTTTGTTTCATGTTTGCAGTGCTGGTTAACTCACTATATCAGAGAGTAAAAGTGGCTTATTTTGTCCCAGCAGCATTCTCTGGTTGGCATTAATGACCTCTTGTATTCTAATTGTAGACAAAGTAACCAATTGTATGTATGGTTTTCAGTGTATACTGTTCACTGAGATAGCTTAGAAAAAGAAGATTACAAGGTTCTCCTGGTGACAATGACTTTGGGAACAGTAAGTACGTGGGGACCCTTTTACCTTAAACTCACCAGTTCAAATTCAGTACAGATCACTATGGACCAAAATATTCAGTGGCTTAGATTAAAATGAGTTGGTATTAGTTCAGTTTCTAATTACCAGGTGTACAGGTTAGTTAGCTGTGACACCATTGTTGATAATGTAATGAGGGGACAAGGAAGGAACTAGCATGAAGGCTAAAACAACCCTTTTCACCCCCTGAAGGTGTTTCCTTTACAGTAGTTTTGGGAAGCCTGAACTGCCACTGATTGTGCTGTACCTGTTCTAATAACTAACAAATCTGAGTCATGGTGAGTGAGGTAATATCTTTTATTGGACAAATTTCTGTTGGTGAGAGCGACAAGTTTTTGAGCAACACAGAGCTCTTCTTCAGGTCAGAGCTCTATGTGGCTTGAAAGATTGTCTCTCTCACCAACATAAGTTGGTCCAATAAAATATTACTTCACCCACCTTGTCTCTCTAAATATCCTGGGACTGACACAGCTACAACTACACTACATACAATTCTCAGTCATGTCAGTTTGGCACTTTTGAGAAGTACAAAAATTCATTATTTAAAAAAATTGCTTTCCTTCGGTAGTTAACAAAAGACTGAGTGGATTTTGATGGGAAGAATGAGTATTCCCGATTTTCAGAGTGAATAAGACATTTAGCAGTATCAATGAATGATTTCTCTCAGACATCACTTGATCTGTGATGCATTGACTAGAAGATATATCCATTTGTTTATTTTCTGGGGAAATTTTCCTGAATGAATGGTCTGCTACTGTTTTTTTTTTTTTTTCTTAGAAGACGTTTTACAAAAAAGTGCTTTTCCAGATATGTGCTATCACATCTAAAACATTTTATATACAATATTTCTGAAAACTTTTCCTGGCTTCTCTAAACTTGATATCAAGAAATTATTAAATTCCATGGAAGGGCACCCTTATTTCTGGATTTTAAAGAATATTTTGTTTGTTCTATACTGGGCTACCTTTTATATTTAGCTATCACCAGGTGATACTGGATATAAACTCCACTCTCCCCCACCCCCGCCACCTATAAAAGTTTTAAAATAGGGTAATTTTACAGTGAAATGTGAAATTTTAAAGTGTTTTTACCCCCACACACACAATGAAAAAGGTTTGGGAAGGGAACCACTGTCTGCTATAAAGTTATCGTAGTAGTTCAGTTTCATTGTTCATCCATGATTCCATCTCAGGATGGATTCTTTCTAATGAAGCAAAATATTGATACTTTGAGTAACAAAATTCAAAATGGACTCAATGGCATGTCCATAAATGCATGCAAGTTTAGACAAGTTCATAAGAAGCCAATATAGTAGATCTTTGTATATTAACAGGCTGGTTGGGGGCTAATGGTCAAGACACTGGAAGTCAATGTAAGAGGGGAGATTTACTAATTCTCAGTTCACTCACAACTACCTAATATTTGGCTTGACTTCCTGTTCTTCTGCTTCATCTTCACTATCATCAACCTGTTGGATGACCAAGTCAGTAGACCCATCCTCCACAATCTCCACATCAGATCTGTTGTCTTCACTGTAGTGCCACCTGGAATCTTTATCCCCTTCTTGTGGAAATTCAAGCTGTGGTTCAGCCTCCAAGTCAATACGAATGCTGTCTATGCCAGCTTCAGCCAGACACTCATTACAGAGTCTGTAACGTCTTGTCCCCTCTTGGACCACTTGCCCTGTTAGCTCAGTCACATGGCGCTTACACTTTCTGCAGATTGGCTTACAGGCCTGATGAATCTGTGAAAATTGAAATGGATAAAAGCTGATATTTTCCTCCAAAAGAGTAGGATAGCCAAACAATTTTTTGTTTTGTGAAGAGGCAGTCAGATATCATTTGACAACTTTGTGCTTCACAGGTTTATAAAGAAATAAATTAATTTAGGCTGATTTAAACAAACCTACTGCGCAGCCCAAAAGATTTCACAGGGGAGCTGAAAACCCTATGTCGTGATCTCAACAGTACAGAGCACTTGCCTTTTTTGAAAAGTTCTGTCTCAGTTTAAAGTTTTTATAATTCTGTCCTCAAGGACAGGCCTGGTTGGGAAATTAAACTTTTAATGTTAAAAAAGATTGAGTAACTTAAAAATAATAGGCAGCCATACTACATTATACTCCAAGACATACACTTGCACACACATTAAATGAAACCATGCAGTCTGTGTCTAAAATACATACTGTTCGAAAATGGCTACTTAGGTGGTCTAGCCTGCTAAATCTTTTTCCACATGCCTCACATGGATAAGGTCGTTCTCCTGTATGGCAACGAAGGTGGCGCTTTAGGTCTGCTTTTCGCTTCACCACATGAGTGCAGAATGGGCACTTGAATCTCATCCTGGGCAGATCATCTGTTACAAAACAATCCTATTAAATATCTGAAAAAGTCATAACAGGTCCAATAATGTGACAAATTCTAAAAGATACTTTTTCTAATTTATAAATTATGTTGACTATGAAAATCAGTAGAACTGCATGTTGTTTTCATTCTGAAAGAGTGAATTAACATCACAAATCTTTCAAAGTCAACCCTTCAGTTCCACAGGATGTCATCGTTTTTTCATGTTAAATATATAGCAGTGGAATAAAAGAAAAGGACTTGACAATTGGCTATACTAAAATGGATAGGTCAATATCCTTTATTTTTATTCTTAACTTGCAGGATGAAACTAGGGAGTCACTGAAGTTTATTTTGAAGGGTTAGTGTTTATAAGCCAGCCTGGACAAACACTTTGATTATAGTAACAATAGTTTGATAAGATAGCTATTTCAGCCATTCAAAATTACTACCTTTGTAACGTTAGTGTCTGAAAGATTAGCGTTTCTACTAGTTATACTGTACAGCTCCACTGCCAGCAGATCAAGGCAGAAGAACTGAGGCGTAAATATACAATGTTGTTTCATGCCTCAAAAATAAAATAAGTTGAAATGCCAAAGCAGTAACTAACAAAAAATGTCAGGGAGTTAACCTAAAAATTGGGGGAGGAATTAACAATGGCAAACTACATAGCACTTTCATAATGGTTTTCACCACTAAATAAACATTATCCCCCATTACAGATAAACCGCTTTAGGCCCCAATCCTTCAAAAAGATCTTTTTTTATACTGAATTAACTGTAAGCATGTGGATAGTCCTATTGACTTCAGTATTTACAGGATTGGGACCTAAATGGTTTGCCCAAGATCATACAGCAAGTCAGCAGGACATCTGGAAATAGAACACAGGTATCTTTTCTCCTATTGCTATGCCCTTCCACCACATTATAAAGTTGTCATCACCATGACCTTCCTCTCTTCCTTCACAGGCTATTTTAAAAACAAACAAACAAAAAAAAATGATGGGGGCAGGGGGAATGTTCCTTGACTGGTGATGTGCAATTAACAGTAAAATAGTTTTGAGGAACAAGATTCCCTACTATTGGCATAGATCTTGCTGGGCATGAGTAAACTTGCATATAGCTTGATTTGAGTGCAAGGTTAAACTGTAAACAAGGGTGTGACAAGCTATGTGCTGGAGATGGTGTTTTTGGGCTAGTTGCGATAAGTGGGAATATGCTGAACTGATAAGCTTGAAATGTAAGTCAGGTGAGGACATAAGCGATTGGTCTTTACACAATCTGCAATATGATTGGTCCTTACTCGATCTGTACACTGTGTAAACCAATTAGATTCAAGAAGCATAAATGTTAATAGCTAGGAAACTGTGTACTGTGTGACACGACATAGAATCGTGGTATAATCCTGTACCTAAAACCCCTGCGTCTGGGCCTGGCTAGCGTGGGCATAGAGCTGTTACATCCTAATAAAGTAACTTGAGTGACCAGCTAGAGTCAAACTGAGTTTTTGGATCCCAGAAAACTGGATGAAGTTTTCTTCTAGAATTGGATGAGTTGTTCTGGATAAGTCAAGTGGAAGAGGTCTCAGAAGGAATCCCAACACCTACTTCTGCTCTGTTGCACGAATCTTAGGAACAAAGAAGCCAGTGCCTTCCCAGAATGTGAAACAGGATAAAATAAACTGCATTCTGATGTCCTTCACTTCCACAGGAATCTTTGGTTGGTAAATCTTAAGTGATCATATATCTGATCTCTAGTGTTTGGTTGTCTGCTACTTAAAACTTGAATTTTGTAAAGATATATATTCTCTGGAAGACTTTACCTGTATTGCCCAATAGTTGGCAGAACATTATAATTATTGTGCATTACTAATTGTGACCAAAGGAAGAGGTGATAAAGCAAAAACTCACAAGAGAGTCCAATTATTAGAGTATAATTTCAAAAGATATTTTGGGAACATGGACACAGGAGAAGTTTTAATCAACAGAATTAAATTTTAAAAATGAAATAAAATCCCAGAAAGTTTGAGACCTGAAAAGGCTGGCCTGATTTAGCTACCACTCTCTGCCAAAATTTTAATACTTCTATAAGAACTTAAGACTTTGATCCCAAATACCTTTCCTAGGGGAAAAAAAACCCACTTTGGTTCCAGCTCGAACTAGGAGTCTCTGGGATATTCTCTCTACTAAAAAGAGAACTTTGGCTAAAATCAACTACTGAGAGTGTGCTTTCACAAACAGCTCATAGTTCATGAGTTGGAACTATGTATACACCTTACAGTGCTCTACATTAACTGTAAAACCTCAGGAAAGAGAGACTGGGTATCATTGTGGACTGCTCAGCAATGCTGCATACTGAGCAGACGTCAATAGTAAAGCAACAAGTATTAGAATGTAAAAGGAATGGATTGAAAACTAATGTAAAAAGATCATACTGTCAGGTGGTACACCCTCAGTGGGAAATATTGTGTTCAGTTCTGGTCACCATATCTCAAAAAAAGATATAGCAAAAATAAAGGGACTATAAGTCAACGGTGCTACAGATTTACCCTAGCTGAGAACCTATCCCAAGATCCCTAATAGGTTGCTGCATACCTTTGATACATGACTTTTGTTTCTGTGTCTACCTAAGGGCACATGGATTAATGCAACAGAATTACAGTGGGAGAGGAAAAGAAGTGAGAGCTCTAATTCTGTGAAACTCACCCCATTTTGGAATCCTTCCAAAGCTTGAGAAACCAATTCAAAAGTTAGTGACTGAAAGTAGAAAGATACTGTACATAACCATAACAGAGTTGTACCCCATAGGGAATATTACTTTCCAATCTTGCATTTCTAGGCAATGCAGCTGAATGTATTCCCTCCCCCCTGCCTTTTGGGTGCAATCATACATATTTCCCCATTGATGGAGCTGGTGATATAATAGATTGTTATATAAATTTTCCATTGTAACTTTCATACAGTAAAGATTCTACAACATTTTTGAAAGAAACTGAGGAGAGAGGTACAAATGACCAACTCTTACCTTCAGCCCAGCTCCCCATTACACCTAAAATTGAGGGCATGTTGCCATATTGCTCATCTGCTTTTGAGGACTTTGACTTGCTAGAAGAATGGGGTGATTCATGCTCTTGCTGTGACACACCCAAGCTCCTTGGCATCACATCGGACCCCTGACCGTATTGGTACCCAGCATGGGCAGAGTCAATTTCTGTGTCAATTTGGACTTCCTCCTCAGATTGAGAAATGTGGCTAGTGGGGTCTGAGGATCGGTCTTCAAGCTTGCTTGATTTATAATGGGGAATATCAGAGGATTGTTGCAATCCTAAATGTCTAGTTTTTTTAATGGAATCCTGCCTTTGGTCATGTTTGGCCAGCTGCTGCGCATTTCTTTGAGAAGTTGGATAGTAGCTGAAATTGCTCCAAGCATTGCCACTCATCACACAAGTCCCTTGCTCAGGATTTAAGTGAGAATGAGGGGGACTGTTCTCTGTTCTCCAATCGGCACCATACACGCATGAGCGTTCCACACCATTGGAATTTACATCTTTGTCTGACAGGCTGAAATATCGATCCTTCTCCTTCTCACTGATGTCCAGTGATGACTTAATGAAGGTCTTACAGACACTAATGACATCAGTCATCTGAAGATAACTAGCAGCTGACATGACCTCAATGACATTCTGGCCCGTGAGAGAGAGTTTGCCAGAATACACAAAATCCAGAATAACGGTAAAGGTGTCAGGAGAGAAGGCCTGGAAGGTAGCCGTCGTTGGCTGACTTGTCTCCTTTGAGCTCTGGGAAAGGAGCATTTTGAAATAACCACTACTGGCAAACAGCACATTGCGATGTGCTTTGAACACCTTCCCCTCCACCAGGATACAGCAGTCACAGAATAAGTCTCGCTGGCGCTGCTCATTCAGTTGCTGCAGGAGATGAAACTGATGGGAAGAAATCTCCATTCCAAACAAGGGGTAACGGGAAGCGTTGCTCTACAATAGAGAATAAGGAGAATCGGGACAGGCTACGTGTAAACCGGAGTTGCTGAACCGAATTCTAAAAGCAGCGGTTTTTTTTATAAAGAGAAGGATGCAGTCTGCCCCGAGCCCGTTCGCTCTTTCCCCCAAGGCACAGCCCACCTCAGCCCGGGGAGGAGAGGAGCACCACCCGCCCCGCCACGGTCACAGCCTCTGCGCCGAGGGGACCAAACCGCCAGCGAGAAGCCGCCGGACATTGGCGGAGGGCGCTGTCACTCACCCGCGCGGCCAGTCCGAATTGGTGCTTCACCCAGCGGGAGTCAGGGGCGCCCGACGGCGCGAGACGCGCCCGCCCCGCGAGCAGGGGCAGCAGCGCCTAGCGACTCGAGCCCGCAGTCGCCTCGGCCGCGGCGGGCGGGCGGTGCCGGGGCCCTAGTGGCCGAGGCGCCAGTGCCCGACAGGAGCCCGCAGCCCCCCCCACCCGCCGTGGGGCACCAGCCCGGCAGGAGCCTGCGGGGCCGCCCGGAGCTCCCGCACCCGCTCGCTCCGGGGCAGTTCTCCGCAGGCTCGCGCCGCTCCCTTTGTGCGGCTCCCGCACCAGCCCGGCGTTGCCCGCGCCGCCCCTGCCCAGATGGCGGCCCCGCCGCCGGCGTGTGACCCCTCCCCCGCCCGCCGCCTCTCGCCCCGCGCCCGCCGCCGCCGCGCTCCCGCGTCCCACCGGCCCTTTGTTGCCATCCCCGGCCCCTCGCCGCCGCGCCTGGGGCTGCAAATGGCGCCCGCTTGGGTCTCTCCGCGAACGCGGCTGGCTCGGGGCTGAAGCTCGGCCCCGGACAGCGCCCGGGCCCGGGAGCGTCCACCTCAGGGCCCCCGCCCGCCTCGGGTCCGAGAGCCGCTCGCTGCCCCTTGCAGTCGGCTCGCTCTGGGGCCGCTTCAGCCCCCCAGCGCCCAGTCCGGCCTGCCGGCGTGTAGCGGAGCCGCCACTTACCGGCTGGGTTCCGCGGGCTGCGGCTGCGGCGCGGGAGGTGGGTGCGGGGTCCCCAACGCCCTGGGCGGGGGCGCTTTGCCGCTTGAATGCAATTTGCGGGTCCCGCCGCCCCAAACCAGGGAAGCCCGAACGTGAGAGAAACAAAAGGTATTTGCTGACGTGGGCGTTGGACAGAGACGCCCGAGGGCTGGGGACACAATTAAAGGGGCAACGCACCGATTGCAGGCACAACCCAGCAGCTTCCGCTGCCTGAGCTTCCCTTCCAGGGTGGCGCTTTCCTCTTCTCACGCCCGCAGCCCCACATGCTCCCCAGGAGGGAACGTGGTGTCCTAGATGCTTCCTTCTCACACCTTGGTGTAGGATAGGGGGTTTGATGCCCAAGATCCATCTGCCACACACCCACATGTTCCCCTGAGGGAATGTGATGCCCCTGTCCTGCCTCACGCCCACTTTCCCCTCAAGGCACCAGAATGCCTCCAATTGTTCTTAACCCCCTCAAGCTTTATGATTTAGGCCCTGGTGTCCCATTTCTTTCTCTTCATTCAGTAGAGTTTTGAGGCCCTGTCCTTTCTCACCTCCTGCATGCTCTACTTTACATCCTTCCCATACTCCAGACACTTTAAGAGATGCTCGGTTCCTTATTTTTCACTCTTAGTTGAGCCCCCAGGGTTGGCGGGATGCCCCAGTTCCTGCCACAATAAAAGTTTAATATGATTTTGTACATGAGATGAAAGCACTATCTGCCAGCAGAAGGGCCAGATTTTATATCATTTTGTTTGGCAAAGAAAAGACACACAAACTGTACATATGTTAAATTTATTGGACATATCCGTGTAATCCTTGTATACAAAATCATATACCTAGTTCTACAGAGCACATTCTCTCTGTATCTGTTTAAAAAAACACAACTTGCAGTTGCTGACTCAACCCTTGGGGGTACTGCTTTGTGAGTCTCCCTGTATGTATGTGAAAATGATAGGCAGCTGGTGACAAAAGGAGAAATAATTCTTTCTTTGTGGTAAAGTAAATTAAGACCAAGTTAGTATCATCTTCACAAATTTCTCTTTGTGTTTTTTGCACTGCTTCAAACTGAATTACTGACTAACTACATATGATGGGTCAAATCCTACAATCCTTAGTCAAAACAACTCACATTTATTCAAATGGGGGGGTTTACCGAATGAAGACTGCAGAATATGGATCTGCCCTGTAAGGTCAAAAATCAATCTGCAAGTGCCAAAAAAAAAAAAAGATAGACCCAAGAAAACAGTAGTACTGGAAGCTTTAACAGAACTACTGTTCTCCACAACTTCAGTTTCCTGATTCTGTAGTGTAACATCATAAATATTTTTATAATACAAATGAAGGAATACCAGATTAGTGTGGGGAATGGTTAAATGTAGGTCTACAAAAGAATGGCATCTATCATATAATAATGAGTGGAAACTACATGGGGGAAATGTTTTATCTAATAACTTTGTTTCACAGATGGCAATGGCATGGGTATGTGACTGATATGTAATAGATTATAATATTTTCTCCTTTGATGTTTAATTTTGTATTACTTGCAACTTTATCCATTCTTAAATGCAACATACATTAACAGTATATCTATTTTATTAGGCAATAATCTTATGAATAAATTATTGCAAAATTAATAAGTATTTTTATTTTCTAACTATAGGCCTGATTCTACAAAGACTTGAACACATGCTTAATATGACTTCAGCAGGTCTTGAAGTTAAGTATATGCATAAGTTTTTGCAGAACCAAGGCCTATGGTTGTCCTAGTAGTCAGACATTCCTGTGAAGCAGTGGCAATAGAGGACATAATCAATGTTCTGGAAGATAATATCCCATCATTTTACTTTGGATAAAATTACAGGAGTGTTACCCTATATGTGTGAATGAGAAGACCCATTTGTATTATAGTAGGGGATTTATTGGATATGTGTAGTTATTGCATTGTTTAACATAGAACATGCAAGTGAAAAAATATGCACTAAAGTCCAAGAGGGAATTCCCAGTACCATTTAAGTCAAGGCAAAATTTCCATTGACTTCAATAGGGTCACAATTTCCCTCTTTGTTTCTTGCAAAAAGTGACATATTCATTTCTTTAAATGACAAAAGATGTTACTCAAAAATAATGTTTTTATTGCTATTAGAAAATACAGTACCTTAGTGTGTGACTAAAGACAAATCTTTGGCAATTGTTGCTTTTTAAATTAAAGATTTCTGTATATTTATTTTTACTTAAAGATATTGGCTGAAATCCTGCTGCGTTAAAATCAATGGCAAAAATCCATTGATTTCAGTGTGGCCAAGATTACACCCATATGGTCAAGTATTTTAATCCTAAATTTGGATAGTAAAGCTAGCTAGAGAATATGTAATGAATTCTGATATCAGAAAGAAAAAACATAAGTCATTACTTCATTGTTAGATTGTTTTTAAACCATTACAAGGCCAATAAAAACCAAAACCTGCAACAGTTAAGAGTATTACTAGATCTCTATTAAGAGTGCTGACAGTATCATCAATTATTGCTTAATAAACAAAGTAATTAATTTAAAACTTATTGGCTTTCAAGTCCTTTACCAATAAGGTTAAATTGTTTTTTCCAAATAAAAAAGATCAAAATTGAAAGGAAAGCTTGTTTTATAACTTTACAATAAATAGAAACAATATAAAGCTTAAAAAATAATGGGTAGTGTTCTATTAAAGATGTTACCTAAACATTTAAATTTAAATATTTATACTTTATTATGAGCATTGACTATTCCAATGTATACTTTAAGTTGAAAAGTATCAAGTATAAATTGGAACAATCAATGCTCATAATATCCACCTTTTAAAAGCACTTTGATATTAAAAGGGATATACATATGTGCAAGTATTACATTTACCAGCTTAGTTTTAGTTAGTACATGACATGGGTATGTTTCTGGCATCATCCCAGTCTTCATGCCTGTTCCATTTCTGCGAGCAGACAGGATAGGTACAAGAAACCTGGTATCAGAAGATACTAGCAAATTTGAATATCCTACTGATAGAGCAGAAGAGGCAGGAGATAGCACAGCTTATGCCTGCAATCACAAAAATCACACACCCTTGATTTCTTGCTGGTGGGTTTTCTAGTATAGAAGTTAGGATTTAACAGTATTGTAATCTTTGTTTTGAAGGGCTGATAGACTTTTCAAGATCAGGAAGAAAATTTCTTAAAAGTTGATTGTTAGGGTAGGTTACATTTTGAGACTGTGAAACCAAATAATCTCCCTTTAAGGAAAACAATATTTTTGAATAAGATATGTCTTCATTTGATTGCTAATTTTTAAAATATTAGTGAGCAGGCATACAAATTTTCTTCCTAACATTTGCTTTATTTCATTGTTCTCTACAGTTGCGCCTGTATCCTCCAAGTTGTTCTGTGCATGTAGACCCCTTGCACCCATCAGGAGCCTCCTGATTTTTGCAGGGCTTTGTGCAGGCCTAGAGCAGTTTGCAGGATTGGGGCCTTGGACCATAAGTCTCAACTGTACTTGCAACAAAAGAACCATTGTATTATGCAGCAGAAACTAAGTAATGTCATAGGACAGGAAGAATAGGATCTCTCTTTCCACAAAAACTGGGGCACCTTGTGATAGTGTTAAAGGTTATTCAACATGTTAAACGTAGTGTAATACTTTAGAATCTTTCATTCCTATCCATTCAAAATTTTTAACCATTTTATTTGTTTCCTCAGATTTTTGTAGCATGTGAGTTAATTTTTCTACAGTTTAATTTTGTCTGTAAACTTCCCTCTGAAAACAATTGTTTGTACACTCAATATTTTTCTATATTAGGTTTAATCTAGGTTGGAAATTAACAGCTGAATTTTCAAAGCCCTAGTACTTGGGCCCAGATCTGGAAAGATGCTGAGCACCCAGAATTCACATCAACATCAATGGCGTTGGGTGCTCATCACTTATCAGGAACCGAACAGGGTGCATCTAAACCAGTAGATAAGCACATAGATATCTACATGTTGTTTTGGTTTGAATTTTCAAGAGTTACATTGTGTCTAACTGTTCTGAAAATCCAATCACATAATTGTGCACAGACTGCGAGGGTTGTGGGGATGAGGAACTAGTGCTTGTGAGCCTGATTGGAATATTCAGGAAGATTTATGGGAATACTTTTGCTCTCTGGGTGTAAGGTTCCAGTCTCCTTAAAGCATGACTACTTTTTCCATGGCACTAATGTCAGACAGGACCCTGGTGATCAATCCACACTTTAACTCAACATTACAGAATAGATGTTAGCTCTGTACCTTTTGAATGCAGAGTCCCCAGGATTGTAGATTAAGACAACTATCCTAAATCTCCTATTTCAGTAAACCTGCCAAGGGTTTCACCTGGGATACTGCTAGGAATAGCCCACATTCTGGACTGTTGGACTTCTTGCAGACAGGGAGCTTTTTGTTCTTACTTTGTACATACATTTTCTGCAAAGGAGACCACGTAGGTATTAGTTTGTATAGTTGTTTTATTTAGTGCTATGTCTCATATTTCTCAGTTTTTGAGTTAGTGTTTCAGGCTAAGAAAGTTTCTCCTGGAGTTGGGAGCCAGAGAGGATTGATTGGTAGGAAGAGCTCTGGGGGCGGTGGAACTACTTGCAACAATATGAGGAGGAGGAGCTCAGAGGCCAGACAGATAGTCTTACCTTGTAAACTGGCTCTAGAAAAAGGAGATTAAAATCTCCTTCTCTTCAGTTAGCTGCTAATATAAAAATTATTAGCATATATTTTACAATGTCTTTCTTGGTTTCACTTAGGTATCATAAAAGTAGAATTAACACCAGAAAAAGTTAAAAAGAGCTCTGCCTTATGGAAAATATATTTGTCTTGAAAATCCAAGAACTCAAATACAGTATATTTTTTCTTTAAATGTTATGTGATATTTGCTAAAGAAAAGTTCTGCAGCTAATATACAAACACAAATTGCTGTAATAAGGAAGACTAACGTACATTCATTTATTTGAAAGATAAATTTGATGAATGAGTTGTAACAGATTTTTTCAAAATAAGAAAATAAATGTACCATATGCTTATACTGAGATTCTTTTAAAATACAAAACATAAGAAAAGTTTAATGGAGCCCTTGGCTACAGAGCACTTTGAGTGACACAGTACCCTTTCTGCTTCACGGTGGCAGAATATTTTAATTCTCATTCTATTTT